GGTTAAGTGACTTGCCCAGGATTATATAACTAGTGAGTGTCTGAGGCTAGATTTGAACACAGGCCTTCCTGACTTCAGGCCCAGTACTCTAACTACTGCCCCATTTAGCTACCTCTATTTAAATGTTTAACTAAACTATTTTGTACATATGGGATGGGAAGGGGATGTGTGTGTGTGTGTGTGTGTGTGTGTGTGTGTGTGTGTGTGTGTGATATGTATAATGATTTTGTCTAACAACCTTTCTGCTGCCAAATTATAAAATAATCATGGCAAAATTTACTCAGGAAAATACACATTTCGTTGAAGAAATAACATGTTCTAAGTTATTGTTAGATGATGGTATATTTATTCTCCCCAAAAAAACCACATTAAGAAGTAGAGCCATTTCAAACTTGCAGCGTATTAAATTTCAAACATAAATTCCAGCTCAATTATAGTGCAAGCCTATGGATTCATGTCAGTTTTACAATCCAGTTAAACTATTGTTTTTGGCTGTAACTGGGCTATGAGCTCATTTTTATCAATCTTAACTTTTAGTGTGTGTCTTTATTTTAACTTTTTTATGTGTAGAAGAAACTATATAAGGAAATTGTATTCTGTAAAGAAATTTAATGAGTTAAAATATAAGTACTGGCACCTCTGAAAGCATAGTTTTTTGTTTGTTTTTTTCAGACTCTTTGTGACACCATTTGGGGTTTTCTTGGTGAAGATACTGGAGTAGTTTGCCATTTCCTTCTCCAGGTCATTTTACAAATGAGGAACTGCAGCAAACAGGGTTAAGTGACTTTCCCAGGGTCACACAACTAATATGTATCTGAGGCCAGATTGAACTCAGGTCTTCCTGACTCCAGGCCCAGGTCTCTCTCTACTGTGCCACCTAGCTGCCCAAAAGCATAGGTAGTGGGGTTAAATTTTCCTTTTAACATGATGTGAAGTGGAATGCTTGTTAAAACTGAGTTTCCTACATTTCTGTCCAGAGTTATTTACTTATCCCCTGCAAATCATTTATCAGGCTTTTCTCATTCCATTTATTGAGCAAAATTTATTTAATACCTGCTATGTGCAAGGCACTGTCATCTCATATATTCGATATCTGATGGGGAATAGAAAAAAAATGGGAGAATGATTCAAAGAATTTTTCAGCTCACAGAGATCTTAGAGATTATCTACAAGTTATCTTATATCTAGGGAATTAAGGTATACAGAGATGACTGGGCATATTCATATGGCTAATAAAAACTACCATTTACATAGCACTGGGAGGCAGCTATGTGGCTTAGTGGATAGAGTGCTGGGCCCAGAGTCAGGAAGACCTGAGTTCATATCTGGCCTCACACACTTATAGCTGTGTGACCCTGGGCAAGTCACTTAACCCTGTTTACCTCAATCCACTGGAGAAAGAAATGGCAAACCACTACAGTAACCTTGGGATGTAGGTACTATGATTATCTTTATTTTACAACTGAGGAAACTGAGGTAAACAGAGGTTAAGTGACTTGTCCAAGGTCACACAGCTAATAAGTGTCTGAGGCCATATTTGAAATGAAGTCTTCTTGACTCCAGGCTCAGTGCTCTGTCCGTTTACCATCTTGCTACCTTTATAAATGTTATCTCATAGATGGTCACAAAGCCAGGACTAGAAGTCAAGCTTTTCTGGCTCTCAATCTTGAGCACTTTCTTGAGTTCCTGGTTTAAATTCTAATAATTCTAGGGAATTATAAGTCTTTTTCCCATAATATATTCTTACGTATATGTACAGAGATAGAAACTAAAAACAAGAAAAAAAATCTTAAGTTTCCAAATCTCTCAGTGCAGATATCTGTATGGTTTGTATTTTGTGTAGTACTGTGTGGGGAGTTACTGCTGATGAAAATATCTTTAATTTCTCACCATGTTTTAGCGCTTTGGTATACGGTCCCCAAGGATATACTGGACCTTTCATTGCATAGCCAATATGCCAGATGCTAGTGCAGCCATCTCACAGTCACTATTTCCAAAACTGAACTCATCATCTTTCCCTCCAAAGCCTCCCCTCTTCCTAACTCTCTTATTACTTTCACGGGTACTACCATCCTCCCAGGCACTCAGGCTCACAGCCTGGATCTTAATCCCTTCATTCTCTCTCACCATCACCCTTTCCCATACATCTATTTCTCCCATACATTTCTCAGATATGACTTTTCTCTCCCTGAGCATTACCATCACACGTGGTCCTCTTTAAGAATGAAGGACAAACAACAACCATCACCCTTCAGCAGCCTCTCATTAACCAATACCTGCAGAATTGCAATAACTTGCTGGTTGGTCTCCCTCTTTCAAGTATCTCCCCATGCATTCATCCTACACTCAGCTGAGATCAAATTGATCTTCCTAAAGCACAGGTCTGTCTGATCTTGTTACCCCTTCCCCCATTCAATGAGCTCCAGTGGCTTCCTATCACCTCCAAGTTCAAATAAAAATATAGAATCCTCTGTTTGTCTTGCAAAGCCTTTCATAATGTGGTACTCTTCTGCCTTTGCAGTCTTCTTCATGTACTTTATGATTCAAGGCCACTGACCCCATCGTTGTTCTTAGCATATGACACTTCATCTCCTGAGTCTGTCCCTATTCATTGGCTGTCCCCATCCCTGGAATGCTTTCCCTTCTAACCTCTGTCTCCTGCCTTCCTCTATTCCCTTTTGTCATTCAGTTGTTTTGCATTTGTGTCTGATTCTTCATGACTTCATTTGGGGTTTTCTTGACAAATGCTAGAGCAGTTTTCCATTTTCTTCTCTAGCTTATTTTACAGATGTGGAAACTGAGGCAAACAGGGCTAAGTGGCTTGCCCAGGGCACACAGCTAGTAAGTGTCTAAAGTCAGATTTGAACTCACAAAGATAAGTCTTCCTGATTTTAGGTCCAGTGCTCTGTCCATTGTGCCACTTGGTGCCCCAAATTCCCTTTAAGATCTACCTAAAATCCTACCTTCTTTGAGAAGCTTTTCCTAAGCACTATTAATTTTAGTGCCTTCCCTCTATTATTATTTCTAACTTATCATGTATCTAGATTGTTTGTATATAGATGCTTGCATGTGTCTCCTCCATTAGACTGAGATCCCTGAGAGCTGGGACTGATTTTTTAAAAAGTATTGTTGCCTTTCTTTGTATTTCCAGTGCTTAGCACAATGTCTAGCATCTAGTAGGCACTTAAATAAAAGCTTGTTGACATTATGATGTAGCTATGAGTAATGTGGGAACCTAGAATCTGAATCCCAGTCCTGGGTCTTTCCTCAATTGTGTCCTGGGAATCTTCAGCAGCTTTGGAGACACATAGATCTGTGGAATATAGTCTCGCAGAGGAAGGTACCATATTTCCTTTTGTCTTTGTATCACAGTGACTCAGACATAACAGGATCTTAACAAAGACTCATTCTGACAGATTGGATTAGATGAGAATAGGGCTAATTTGGGGCAGTAGTTTATAACTGAAGGATTTATTTTGATTCCAAACCATCCCTAAGGTTTTTTAAGTTGTTGTTAAGTCATTTTTTCAGTCCTGGCCAACTCTCTATGACCCCATTTGGGGTTTTCTTGGCAAAGATACTAGAGTGGGTTGCCATTTTCTTCTTCAGGTCATTTTGCAGATGAAGAAACTGAGGCAAACAGAGTGAAGTGACTTGCCCAGAGTACACAGCTAGGAAGTATCTGAGGCTGGATTTGAAGTCATGAAAATAACTCTTCCTGGTTCCAAGGCCAGTGTTCTATTTACTGTAACACCTAGCTGCTGTCCCTTAAGATTTGCTCTGAGGCAGCTCCCAGAAGGGTATGGATTGAATTTAGCCTCTCAGGATGAGTCCAGAATAACCTGAAACTATCAGGGTTCTGTACCTATATCTCTCTTGGGGTTCCCTGGACTGGAAAGAAATGTAAGGCCTGGAAAGATAAAGGTTAAAAGGCTACCCAGGAATTTCTGACGTTCAGCTGGTTTTGCATACACAGGCATATAACACCTGGTGGGGATTCACTCTATGACCTGTGCAAGCTTGAAGGTTCTTATTAATCTTCTATTTTTAAAAGTATATTTCAAGGTGATTAAAATTGTCTGATGGTTAAGCACTTTGTGGAGAATGGACATGAGATATATGAAATCTCTTGAATGTTATTCTGTTTGCTTTGTCAAGAACCTCAGTGTTTCAGCTGGTATTAGCCTACTGGGATGGAATTCAGAATGTATTTATCTAAGGAAAGTATATTTGGTTTAAGAACAGTTAAAACTTTCTAGAGACTCTAAAAAGCCATTTTTCTATGAAGTAGGTGCCAAATGAAAGCTACCCACATGGAGTATTCTTTAGAAGTATATCTTGTGTTAGTTATTACTTATTTAATCTTTTTTTTTAATGGGGAGGGGAAATATTAGTTAATATCGTGGCTAGACATGTCTAAGCATGGCTATAAAATGAACTTCCATGCCTAATAAAAAGACATAAATTTAAGATATCCATCAACCAATATAGTGTAATTGTTTGGCAATCTGGTGGGGAAAAAAGGAGGGGAAAGTGGCATGTTATTTTTTCCCCTTTCTTAAGTACTTTTAAAATTAAAGACTGGAAAATTACAACTTTGATGCTTTTTTTTTGGACAGCTTTCTCTGTCTCCCTTCATCCATCCTGTTTCCCAACATTAGAAGTTTCCGTATCCCAGATCTCTTGTGGCACAGTTCCCTTCACTAACAAATTGGCGTTTTTGCTCTTTTGGATATATACTTATGGCAGTTACATCAGTAAGAGCATAGAATTAAGCATCTGTTTACCATTTGAAATGTGTACATTTTTCTTGTATGTAGTGGAACTGACTACTCCGAATAAACGTGAAATATGTCACTTCAGTTCTCTGGGCCTTGGCTCCTCACCTATAAAATGAGAAGGTTAGGCAAGAAGATCTTCTGAGGGATCAGAGATCAGAGCTGGAATGGTTGCCTGAAACATCTAATCCACCCCTTTTCCATTCTCCCCTCATTTTACAGGTGAAGAAACAGAAGGTCCTGGAGATTTAATGACTTGCCTGAAGTAACACAGGTACTAAACACCAGAGATGGGATTTGAAACCATATGCTGTTTGTCTTCATTTTTGAAGCAGACTGATGACATCATGAAGTAATGTTTTGATTCCCGTGTAAAACAGATTTAAGTGAGGCAGAGCTGCAAAAAGTTGTCAGCTTCATTCACTCTTCAAGAGCCATGGAAGTCCAGTGGCAAGACAAAAATCTAAATGACTGGCAATGGCCCAGGATACAGTGGATGACCTTGGCATTTTTGTTGTCTGACCAAGCTCTATGTACTCCGTAGTACCTGCTTCAGCTGCCTTCATGACTGTTGGAACAAATTGTTCTCATCTGCCCATTTCACCAGGAGAAGTCTTCAAATGCTTGGGGTAGACTTCCCCTAACTCACTGAAGAGTTTGTGGCCCATCAGTTACCCTCAGCCTGATTTTTACCCATCTGTGCTGCACATGTTACAGTTTGAAACCACATACTACGATTCCAGAAGGAGTGTTCTTTGCTGTGTACGATACTCTCTCCAAGCCACAAATCTCTCCCCATTCCAGTCCAGCCTACACTTAGTTGCTGTCAAATAGATTTTTTTAAACTGTAAGTTTGATCATGACACCCCTTCCCCTACTTCATTCCTCACTCAATGACTTCAGTGGTTCACTATTTCCTTCAGGATTAAACATATACTTTCCCATTTGTCTTTTAAAATCCTTTATAACCTGCTCTTTTAAAAAAAAGATTCATTCTTCTATATAAAATTTTGAGTTCCAAAACTTCCTTTCTCTTCCAAAAGTTCCTCCCTCCCTTGCCCTCTCCCTAACTTGGTAAGTGATTTAATGTAAGTTATATATAACCTGGCTCCTTCCTACCTTTTCAGTTTTGTTACATCTCACTCCCCTTTGTGCTCTCTATGATCCAGTGATACTGGCCTCCTTGCTGTTCCTTACCTGCAATGCTCCTGATGCAGACCTTTTCTCTGACTGTTCCCCATGCCTAGAATTCTCTCCCTCCTCATCTCTGTCTCTTAGCTTCCCTGGCTTCCTTCAAGTCCTAGTGAAAATCTTACCTTCTACAAGAAATCTTCCCCCTTACACTTAATATCTGCCTTCTATTAATTACCTCCTATTTACCATGTATGCATCTTGTTTGTACATAGTTGCATGCATGTCCAGGACTATTTTTCGCCTTCTTTGCATCCCTGACACTTAGCATAATTCTAGCACATAGTGAAATACTTAACAAATACTTCTTGACTGGCTAATAATAATAACTAACATGTAATCTGTTATGTTCCAGGCACTGTGCTAAGCTCTTTACAAATATCATCTTATTTGACCCTTACCACAACCCTGGGAGGTAGGCTTTATTATTATCTCCATTTTATAGATGAGGAAACTGAGGCAACCAGAGGTTAAGTGACTTGCCTGGGGTCACATAGCTAGTAAGTGTCAGAGGCTAGATTTGGACTCAGGTCTTCCTGACTCCAGACTTGGCCCTCTATCCAGTGAGCCATCCAGCTGTCCTAGCTAGTTATTAGTGTAAGGGTCCTTCCCACTCTATATCCTATGGCCCTTGAGAAGAATTAAGCTCCTTGAGAAGAATGAAATTAATGAGACTTGTTCATATTTTTCAGATGAATTATTAATTCAGTAAAACAAGGATGTTCCAAGCAACTGGTATTTCAGAGATCTAATTATATTATGAATCTTGTTTTTTTTAAAGCACCTTGGAAATAATGATCTATCACCTTTATTATTTGAAAAAATACATTATTAAAACTGAAGAACAAAGGGGAAAGATTAAAACCTTCCTCTACAAGATAAATCCTTTGAAAACTGTCACTGGAAGTCAAGGAAGTATCTTGATAAGGAAACTATTCTACTAGAAATAGAAACTGCTGCTTATCTCCTTGAATAGAACACCAGGAACAGCTCCATTCTCTAGTGTTTACAAGGTTCTTAACTCTGTTGTAATGATGCACACTGATTTGGGCTCTAGACTCAGTAACCATAAACATTTGTCTCAGGAAAGGCACAGTTATTTCATATCAAAATTTAAGAAAGAAATGACCTAGTTTATTTACAGTCAAATTCCAGTCTTAGCAATTTCTGTCATATTAACTGGCAAATAAAATCATTTTCATCAGAATAGCCCAGTCTGGCCATTTCCCCTTACTTCTTCACAAGAGACTTAAGACAGGAAAGGAAATTTGATTGGTATTTTGTGTGTTCAAGTTTCCTTTCATGAACAGAGGAGAAATTTTACCCGGCTTCTCTCAGGCCATCTGGAAAAACAAATGATCAAAGTCCACTTAGGGCAGCTGGATTCCTTGTTTTATCAGTAGGCTGCTTTCTAGAAGAAAGTGAACCAAATATTTGTATAGGTTTTCCTAATGTTAATTTAGCTCTCACGATAGCTATACAATAGAGATGGATGTTAGAGCCACTTTCAAGCTGAAAAAACCAGAGACTTTAGTTAAGCACCATCCGAGGAAACTGATATGATAATTAAGACCTGTCCTCTGTCCAAGGTAGACAATTATCAGAGAACTGTGTCCAGTTCTGTACTCCAAATTAAAAGGATGACATTCAAAAGCTTGGAACAAATCCAGTTTGAAAACTTCCCTCTTTCTGTTAAAGGCAACACTATCCTTCTAATCACCCAGTTTTGAAGCTTTACCCTTGGTTCCTCACTCTTCCTTCCACTACATATTTAAATAGTTGTCAAGTCTTAACCAATTCTAGCACTACCACATCTCTCACATATATATATATATATATATATATATATATATATATATACACACACACACACACACACACACACACACACACACACACATATATACATATACGTATACATATATCTCCTCTTCTCTGCACTCATATCATTACTGTCTTAATTCATGTCCTCATCCTCTCTTGCCTGGACTGTTGCAATAGCCTCCTAATTAGTTTCCTTGCTTCATTTCTCTTTCCTTTACAAACTGTCCTCTATGAGGTAACCAAAGTTATATTCCTAAAGCAGAGATATATGACCGTGTCACTTTCCTGTCAATGAGCTCCAGGGCTATCTATAACCTATAGGAACAAATACAAATTCCTCCATTTGACATTTGAAGGTCTTTGTAACCTTGCTCCAAATGACCTTCCCAGCCTTGTTACATACAGCATGTCCCAAAAGTTTTAGAGTAGCCTTCTGTTATTAAAAACCTTAAAACTGCTCTGAGACTTTTATGATACCTGCACTGCTCCCTTTCATTCACTGTATAGTCCAGTCAAATTGACTTTCTTGCTTTTTCTCACAGGTTATCCCCCATGCCTCTAAAGTATTCTTTCTTCCTCTACTTCTCAACATCCTTAGCTTCCTTCAAAGCTCAGCAAAATGACCACCCCCTATATGAGGCTTTCCCTAATCCTCACAGATGTTAGTGCCTCTCTGGTAAAATCGCCTTATATTTTATTTTGTATGTAGCCTATAAACATTCACATGCACACAGCTTATCTCACTTACTAAAAATGTAAGTTGTCTGAAGATAGAGAATATTTTCTTTTTGTCTTTGTTTTCCTGACACTATTACCCTGTCTGGCATGCAATAGACAATAAATAAATAGTTGTTGATTGACTGATTTACTAGATCATTGCATGCTAATAATGGTTCATACCATTATTATGGTATAATGATTGTAATAATTTAAATTTTTTTAAAATGGTGATGCTCCATTAATTTACTGATTTAATATTATTCAAAGCTCAGCTGGAATACCATGTCCTACAAGAGGCCAGCCTTGCCTGACCTGCAGATACCAGAGCCTCTCTCCTGAAATTGCCTTGTATTTTATTTTTATGCATTTTCGTATACTCATATATATACACATGTTGTCCATAATGTTCTAGGGTAGAGACAGTTTCATTTATATTTTTGCACCCCTGACACCAACAAAGTATCTGGTGCACAGAAGACACTAAATAAATCCTTTTTAATTGATTGACAGACCATGTTGATCAAAGATAGATTGAAAAAACTCAAGATGCTTAACCTGAAGAAAAGAAGAGTGTACCAATCACATTTCAGGAGGTTATTTTATAGAATTTGACAAAATAACAATAAAATTCATTTCTTAATAAAACATTTAGAATCTAAAAAGGAAACATTGAAAACAAAGTAGAAATGAAGGGAGGTGAGTACTACCTGACCTCAAATTATGCTACAAAGCAGCAATTATGTGATACTAGTTATCAATTAGAAAAGTATATCAGTAGAACATATGATAAGGAAGAATTACAAATAATTGAACTTAAAGAAACAGTGTTAGATAAATTGGAGAACATAAACTACTTGTGGAAGAATTCCTTATTTGACAAGAGAAGGGGAAACTAGAAACAGTCTGATTGAAGTTAGGTATAGACCAATATTTTACATTATATACCACAATAACTAAAAACAGGATCCGTGAACAAAATGTTAAAGGTCAGTATTTTAAAAAATGATTTGAGAATCAGATTAAGTATCTTTCACATCTATGACTAGGGGTAGAATTCTTAACCAAGTCAAGGATGGAGACAATCACTAAAGACAAAAGTTGTGATTTGAATGACATGAATTTGAAAAGCTTTTGCATGAACAAAATTATGCAACTAGAATAAGAGGGGAAGCAACAAACTTCGGTGAAAGCTTTGCATCAATATCCCTGACAAGGCTCTGAGACCCAAGGCACTTAAAGAACTAATACACATGCATAAAACCAAAAGCTGTTCCTCTGTGGCTTGGTGGTCAAAGATAGGAACAGAGAGTTCTCAGATGAATTATAAACTATTAAGAACAGAGTAACAGTTAACAAATAAATATTTATTACTGTGTATCAGGTACTATGCTAAGTGGTAAGGATATAAATAAAGACAAAAAACAATCCTTACCCTAGAGGAGCATACATTCTAATAGAGGAGACAACATGGAAATAACTAAGTACCTACATGATATCTATCTATCCATCTATCTATCTATGTATCTATCTATCTATCTATGTATCTATCTATATCTATCTATCTATCTATCTATACCTATCTATCCATCTATCTATCTATCCATCTATCTATCTATCTATCTATCTATCTATCTATCTATATCTATCTATCTATCTATCTATCTATCTATCTATCTATCTATGTATCTATCTATATCTATCTATCTATCTATACCTATCTATCCATCTATCTATCTATCCATCTATCTATCTATCCATCTATCTATCTATCTATC